CCCATTCCTGTACCTGCGAGACATAAGCAACCACTAGTCCTACTATTCTGTTTCTAAAGGTTTGCCTTATCTGGATTTTATACATAAATGAAGTAATGCAACATGATCTTTCGTGGCTGGCTTCTTTAATGTAGCATGATATTTCCAAGGTTTATTCATGCAATAGATGTATTATACATAATTTTTTTATTGCTAAATAATATTTCATTGGATGAATTTACCAAAGGTTAATACATTTATCAGTTGATGGATATTTGGATTGTGGCCACTTACTGGATATTATGATTAATTCTATAAACACTAACATATAAGCTCAGTTGTTAACATATGTTTTTATTTCTCCTGAGCATATATTTAAGAATATAGTTGCTTGGACAAATAGTGAATCTCTGTTCAACATTTTGAGGAACGGCCAAACTATTCTCTGAAATGGCTGCATCATTTCACAATCCCACCAGCAATACATGAGGGTTATAATTTCTCCACATTTTCATCAACATTTGTAATTGTCTATCTTTTTTATTTTAGCCATCCTATTAGGTGTAAAATATTTTTTCATTGTGGCTTTGATTTGCATTTCTCTAGTAAATAAAAATATGAAATGCTTCTACCCATTGGCTAATTATATATTTTCTTTGGAGAAATGTCTGCTCACATCCTTTATCCATTTAAAAAATTGGGTCATTTTTCATCCTAATGTTGAGTTATAAGAGTTCTTAATATACATTTTGACTATAAGCCTCTTATTCAATATGGCTTGCAAATATTTTTACCAATTATGTGAGTTGTCATTTCATATTTTTGATAGAGTCTTTTGAAACCAAGAAGTTTTAAATTTTTATAAAGTTCAATCTGCCCATTTTTTTCTCTTACATTTAGGCATTAGACCTAGGAAATAGTTGCCTAACCCACAGTCATGAAGATTTACTCCTATGTTTTCTCCTAAGAGCTCTGTAGTTTTAGTTCTTATGTTTAGGTCTATGATCCATGTAGAGCTCATTTTTAAGTACAGTATAAATGATCAAATCTAACTTTATTATTCTACATGAGTTATCTAGTTTACCCAGAGTCATTTGTTTAAAAAGCTATTTTTTTTTCATTAAGTTATCTTGGTATTGTCAAAACTAAATTGATCACAAATGTAAAGACTTATTCCTAGAACCTTGATTCTGTTCCATGGGTCTGTATATGTATACTTATACCAGTGTCTCTCTGTCTTGATTATTCTAACTTTACAGTAAGTTTTGAAATTGAGAAGCATGAGTCTTCCAATTTTGATCTTCTTTGTAGGTCATTTTTAAGGTGGAAGAAGAAAAAGTTGTCACATGGCACAGTGAAAACTGAAATTTCAGAATATTTCTGGTACAAGTTGGGAGGCAGGAAGAAGCCTGGAATGATCTCCTGCCCAGCTTCCCTCACCAAATGCAGCTTCTCATTCTACATGAGTTATCTAGTTTACCCAGAGTCATTTGTTTAAAAAGCTATTTTTTTTTCATTAAGTTATCTTGGTATTGTCAAAACTAAATTGATCACAAATGTAAAGACTTATTCCTAGAACCTTGATTCTGTTCCATGGGTCTGTATATGTATACTTATACCAGTGTCTCTCTGTCTTGATTATTCTAACTTTACAGTAAGTTTTGAAATTGAGAAGCATGAGTCTTCCAATTTTGATCTTCTTTGTAGGTCATTTTTAAGGTGGAAGAAGAAAAAGTTGTCACATGGCACAGTGAAAACTGAAATTTCAGAATATTTCTGGTACAAGTTGGGAGGCAGGAAGAAGCCTGGAATGATCTCCTGCCCAGCTTCCCTCACCAAATGCAGCTTCTCTCTGGTCAGGTGGCACACAGACTCTGGAGAAAATGGTGGCAGATGGATGTACCTGGGAAGCAGGAGAAGTCTAGAATCGTCTCCTACTTGGCTTCCCTCACCAACTTGCAAACCAGAGCTTTAAATTGTGCTTTTCCCTCCCTCCCCTTATGCTGGATGAAGGTGGATAGCAAGGACTTCTTTCTGTTTCATAGATTCAGCCTTGATATGATGAGCAGCCTTGACAGTCCTCAACTCCTACTAAGTGATGCTTGCCCTAGCAGGGAGAAATCTTCATAGGTCAGTAATAAAATACCTGAGGAAAACACTTGCTTCCATGGGGGTTTATTTGCTCTTTGTTGCTTGTCCCTGGAGATAAGCATCTCATCTATCTCTTGATTTGTTCTTACTCCTTTGGTCACTCAGGTTAGGAAGAGCTATACTTTTTCAATTGTTTAGGTCTATGATCCATGTTGAGCTCATTTTTGAATACAATATAAATGATCAAATCTAACTTTATTATTCTACATGGGTTATCTAGTTTACCCAGAGTCATTTGTTTAAAAAGCTGTTTTTTTTTTTTTTCATTATCTTGGTAACTCTATGGGTCCCAAGGACTCTTGTGACTTTCTTAACTTCAATAATCTGATCTTGTTACATATATCTGCCTTATATATAACAAATGTTCCTTCAAGTTCTGTGGTATGTGGATGGCAAACTACTCCAAGCTTCTATTGATGCTATCAACGTCTCTTTGTTCTATTTCTTCTCATTTCAGTCAAGTCAGGGAAAAAAGTGGTCCATTCTGTTTGTCTCTTTGTTTTTAGAAATCTTATCCATGGTTTGTGTTTCTCTTATTAATGATAAATATTGTAAAAAAGAATCTAAATGTTATAAATTGGACATAATTAAAGATAATTCCATGCTGCCTCTTCTTTTAAAATGAAGAAATCAAAGCCGTAGTAAGGAAAGTGACTTGACCTAAGGCTGCCACCATGTTGCCACCTGGTCCAACACGCTTTTCAACACACATAGCATCTGTTCACATCTCACTGGAGTGGTGAGCTTATCCTATTGGAACTGAATATTATTTTTCTATCTTCAACTTTTATGAGAAAAGATCACATTTTCCTTTTACGTTTTCTTACACTTAGTTTTTTTTTTTTTTAATCAACTTGAATTAACGTCCCAGATTTCAAGTCTAAACACAATTTCGTTATTACCGTGTTTCAGCCTTTGGAAACATGATTATATTACAAACATATTCTTAAAACTTCAATTATATAAAAAGGGCACTGAGGCACTAATAATGTTATTTCAGATAGCTAATCTAATTAGTTTCTTTTTATAAATTACATAGACTCAGATAAAAATGATTGAATGCACAATTTTTGAAAAGGTGTGAGAAAGTCCAAATCCTTTTGTCAGTGTAACCTCATTTTCTCATTAATCTTTCCTGAGAAAAGCTATTATCTTTTATCACCCTTTTCTTCACTTGATAATGTTGAATTGGCTAATACTGTATACTTTTTATCACTCATTTAGTGATAAAGCTGTATAATTTGAATTGATTATTTTAATTTTAGAATAGAAACAATTCAGTCTTAGATAATAAACAGTAGGCTTATAAGAAAATACATGGCATATTATAGTAATTTATAATGTACTATATGATATTCAGGACAATTATGCTTAAGAGCTGCTCAAAAAAAAGAACTTCTGTATGAAGCTAATAGAAAAGAATATTTTTAGTTGCATTGACTAAAAACTAAGATACAATTGATACAAGAAGTCTTCAAAAATTCATAAAAGATACACTTTATGTAAAAACTATGCATGGATTTCAAAAAATTTTGGCAGCAAAATAAAACCAGAGTTTCTTTTTTATTCATGATAGAGTATGTGTGTACATATGTGGGATGAGTGTGTGTGTATGTATGTGTGTGTGTGTTTGAGAGGGAGAGAGGTGAGTTCCTTTCATGGGGTTTGGTGATGCCTTGATTCCCTTCTTTCATTCCTTTATCCTTCCAGCTCTTTGACAATCTCAGATAGGCTTGGCAGATTTCTAACTGATGGGGCCAGGGATTAGAACCACAGTTGCCATCCATGTAGGATCTAGCTTCTCTTGAGAAACACCTTACTGCTGCACTGCAGAGCAAGTCCAAATGTGCACTTTAATTCCAATTTTCCACAAAATTTTTGAAGTTTCATCATATGTTACGATTTCTGGTATTACGTTTTATTAAAAATACAATTTTGCAGGGACCAGCAGGTGGCGTGGTGGTTAAGGTGCTGGATATTCCCACGTGGCTGACCATGGTTAAAGTCTTGGACCTGGTGGCTTGCTTTCTCACTTTCTCTCTCTCTCTCTCTCTCTGTGTGTCTCTCTCTGGTCAAAATAAAATAAGTAAATGAATAAAGTTAAAAATAGATCTTTTTTTTTTTTAAATACAATTATGGGTGGGCCTCATAGTACAAAAATAAAGCACTACACAGAGGAAGCTAGATCCCACATAACCAGCCAGTGTTTGCATTTTGGTTTGAAAAACACCCAGTGCATACAGGAGTGCTTGGAATCCTAAGGGGATGGTGAAAAATGAATTGCAGCATGACTAGGCCCCACTGGGGGGCACTTTCTCTCTCCTTCTCCACCACACCACACCTCTACGTGGTGCAAACGTACTCTCTGGCAAACAAACTAAACAAAATCAGTGACACCAAAATATCCTAAGTCTAAACAGGTTACAATCGAAAATTCTTTCACCATCATTATTTGCTTACATTGCTCAGAATGTCAAGTAGTGTTTTACTATATTCTCAAAATAGAGTGAACATTATCCATGGAAAAAAGGAAACTTTGAAAATTATTCTTCTTTACATTAAAAAATATTTATCGCCATCTTTGTTTTATTTATTTGCTAATTTTTAAAAGTTTTTGCCACAGGGCATGTTTGCTTGCCAGGAAGAGAGAGAGAGAGAGAGAGAGAGAGAGAGTGAAGACAGTGAGAAATCCTTCCCTTCAGGCAGGATGGCCACCTCACAATCCCTTCCTTCCCATTCTTCTGGGATTTCGAGCACTCACCCACACATGCTCCACATGATTTTCAAGCAGCCACGTTTGGGATTTGAACGGTGGATGTCCAGAGCCTTAACGTCATTCCACTTGCTGGCCCCTCCTTCAATTTTTTCTTTGAGGGGGGGGAATTGCTGTAGGGCACGTGCGTGCACTTGGAAAAAGACAGAGAGAGAGAAAGTGAGAAATCACCCCTGTCCTCCACTAATGGGAGATGACCACCATGCCACAATCCCTTCTTTTCCATTCTCCTCCTGGGATTTTGAGCTGCATGCACACGTGACCAGTGTGAGTTTCAAACTGACAAATCTGGGACTTAAACCATGGTCAGCCATGTGGGAGTCCAACACCTTAACCACCATGTCACCTGCTGGCCCTACTTTACATTTTTTTTTTTTTAAAGAAGTAAAACAGGCAGGTAGGGAGGAAAAAATTGAAGAGAAAAAGATAGGAGAGAGAATAAGTAGATATTAACTAAATAATTTACTAGATTTTAACAATGATTATATTATTTGGTTAGTGTATAATTTCTATACAGAATTCATATTTATGTGATACACTAAAGGACAGAGAAATTAAAGGGATAACTTCTATTGAATATTGATAGAAAGTTCCATATTTAAAGTGTGCTTTGGGTGAGGTTGGCTCTATGACCTGGTGAATCAGGTAGCTGGATCCCACATGACTGACCAAACAGTTCAACTCCCAGACCTGGTGGCTTGTTGACTCATGTGCGTGCATGCCCAAAACCCTGAAAGGAGGAAGAAATGGAGAAGTTTGTAGTGTAGTCATGCCCCCTGGTGAGGGAGAGTGCTTTCTCACTTGTCTCTCTCCAGTGAACACATGCATCCTCTGGTGAAAATCTATTAAGAAATGCTTTTCTACTTTATACTAGTTCTAAAGTCAACTCAGAATTATGTATGCTGTTGGCATTTGGTTTAAAAAAAAAAAAAAAACAACTAAAATTTTTATTAAAGCAGGTGTTTTGTCTGTTCAATACCTTTGTTACTGGTTTCAAAGTTCTCCACACCAAATATTTTGTTAGGACTGTTAACATTGCCCATTAGATTGATTACTGTTTGACCTCATATTTTTCTCCTTTCCAGTCAAATGATAGCGATGTTCAGGAGGGGTAAGATGGAGGAGGTGAAAAGAGAGCAGCAGTAATAAAATTTGCTAATCAAGTCTTAAATAATGGAAGCTTGATTGCATTTAAAAACTGATGTAATGGTTCAGAAATAGGAAAGCTGATTTTTTAAAAGAATGTTTAATTAGAAAATACAATGAGAGACATTTTGTCTGGCAGTTCTTAAATAGATACTTATTTTTAGCTTTTTTTCCTCCCTAAAAGCACAACTATTTCTGATGTTATTTTAAAAAGTTTAGTACATACACACTGTAGGATATAAATATATTGCCCTTTAGGGCATTTGGCCACTTTACTATAGAATTATCTATGATTTGCTTCCTTTTTTTCTGCTTATAGTAAAGGAGAAAATTGTTTTATGGCATCTCATGTCTTCTCACCATTAATTCTAAATTGACAGAAATACTTTATTTGGGGCAATAAACTCAAGCTTGATAATTGGCAAAAGATGTTCAAAGAGGAAATTTTCCTATCTGGTTTAGGAAAGTTCAATTTATCTCTCTCTCCTTCCTCCTCCCTCTTAATCTCCTTTCCTTCCTTCTTATCTTTCTTCCTTCCTTCCTTCCTTCTTCTCCTCCTTTCTTTCTATTTTGGATAAAAAATACAGTCTATGCACTTTTTCTTTTTAATGATGTTTTTCGTAAAATATAAAAACCTTAAGTAGCAATCAAATTCCACTTCATTTTGAAAATGGTGAACTCATTCACAGTCCAGAAGGTTTTTTTATAAATGTCAGAAAGTTCATGGTCAGATAGCTCTGAATTCCCTCTTTCAGCATAGTAACAAAAATAGGATAGCTTAAAAAGAAAATGAACAATAACTGTCAATGTGAAAATCCAGAGTGGTTTTTATATTGGGTTGTCTGAAAAGTCATGAAGTATTTTTCCTATATTTTTCTATGCAAAAATACATCATGATTTTTCTGACAACCCAATAGGTATTTGTAGAGGTCATCCTCCACATTTTCCAGAAGTAATTCTGGACTGTCACACAATCATCTCCATTGAGACCAAAATTAAAATGGAAAAAAGGGGGATTAAATGGGAATTTATAGGAAGGGAGCATTTGTAAACCTTTTGTGAGAGAAAAGTCTGGAAATACAAAGTTCACTGGGTTCACACCAGACTTTAGAAAAGGTGTGAATTGATCTTTATAAAGAAAGCTCCATTACAAAAGAAAAATAAAATTTTCAAAGACTTTTTTGGTGGTTGTTTATCACCTAAAATTTAACACACACAACTACTATTATAAGGACACTGTGCCACATGAGGATATTTTGATCAATGGGGGATCACATGTTTAAAAATGGACCTGTAAGATTGCAGTAAAGCTGAACAGCCCTTACTTCCTAGTTACATCGTGGTCATAGTAATGACTAGTGCAGTGCATTACTCGTGTGTTTGTAAACAAGCCTACTACATTGCCAGTCATATGAAACTACAGTGCATTGTATTCCCTACATAACATTTGATAGTGATACTATACAACTATGTTAGTAGTTTAGGTATTTAGCATACTATATATTTTTATTGTTCTTTAGAGCTTATTTCTCCCACTTGAAAACATTATTTACTGGTACCAGCAGTTGGCGTAATGGCTATGTTGCTGGACTCCCATGTAGTAGAAGGTGGTTCAAGTCCCAAGCCCGGTGGCTTAAATACATGCCGGGCGTGTGTGTGTGCGTGCCCAAGATCCTGAGAGGAGAATGGAGGAGAAAAGATTGCGGCGTGGCCATTGCCCCAGGGGGTGATTTCTCGCTTTCTGTCTCTCTGTCTATGTGTTTCTGGGAAGCACACACGCCCTATAGCAAAAACCTCTCCACAAAGAAACAAACATTATTTATTGTAAATTATATGCCTTGTTAGAGCAGTGGCAGCATCATGTATTTCATATTTACAAAGCCTCTTGATTGCATCATTTTCTCTCTAGCTTGATTTGATCTCCTTTCGTTTAGTTCCTCATGGCCCCTAAGTGTACAAAATTCACTCTTGATATGCCAGTAAGAGGCCATTTTAAGTGCTTAACCTGGAAACAAAATGTAAAGTGATTAGGGACTATAAAGGTGGAAAGTCAGTGGTAGTTATTGCTCATCTCTTTTCATTATAGTTATGATCTTGAAGAACAAGAACAAAGTGACAGGCGTCGTTAAAGGATCTGCCTCACTGAAGGGAAGTAGACTGCAAAAATTCAAGCAGCGTCTCTCTCTCAAGTCTGGAGAAACTTTTCAGGACTTGGACTGAAAACCAGACACAGAAGCGTATCTTTTTCAGCACCACCAAGACTGGGCCAAAACGAAAGGTTTGTTTGGCTTTGATGTACAGAAAAAAGCTTTGGGCTGTCTATGTTGTTGAATTTTCTGCAAGCTCTGGGTAATTTAAATAATTCAAGAATCATTGTTAACCACATAATATGAGAGTGAGTGACGAGTCTTTGAGTGATAACGTGAAGGCCGCTGAATAGTCTTTGGGAACACTAGAGAAATTGATTGTAGAGGAAAATTACTTGCCAGAGCAAATTCAATTTGGATGAAAGTTCCTTATTATGGAAACAGATGCCTGGAAGGACTTTCATTCATGAGGAGGAAGCCAAGTCAATGGCAGTTTTCAAGACTTTTAAGAACAGGACAACAGTCTTGCTTGGGTGCAATGTTACAGAATACAAATTGAGATCCTGACTCAGTGAAAATCCCAGGACCTTCAATCATATCAATAAACATACTCTGCCAGTACACTACAAAAGTAATAAAAAATCATGGATAATCCAGTTCCTCTTCCAAGAAGCCTCCTAAATTGCTAGACCAGAGAAATGGAGAAGCCCATTTTGGAGAATAAAATATTTTAAGATTTCACTTATGGTTGACAATGCCCTTGCACACACTTCTTTTATTAATAGTCTTCATCACAATATCAAAGTGGTGTTTCTTCCTTCAAACCAATGGATCAAGGAGCTTTAGAAACTTTTAAGGACTACTACCTGAGGAGGGTCTTTGCTCAGGCTATTGCTACAACTGATAAAGACTTCGAGAAGATACTGATGCAATTTTTGAAGGATTACAACATCTGCGACTATATCAAGAACTATGCTTGGGTTTAGGGTAATGTTGCCAAGGAATGTATGAATGGAGTCTGGAAGAAGATACTCAGGAGGTTCATCCATGACTTCAAGGGATTTTTAATGAATAAGGATGTTGCAAAAATCAACAAGGCTATGGTTGAGATGGAAAACAATGTTAACATGGATGAAAATGACTGAGGAGCTCTGGATGTGTTTTCTGAAGAACTAATAATGAGTTGATATAATTGGAGGAGGAATGTGTAACTGAAGAAGAGGCAAGAGAAAAGGAGACTGCAGGAAAAAAAGAAGAAAAAAGAAAAGAAAAGAAAAGAAAAGAAAAGGAAATTCACAGCAAAAGCCTGAACCTGGTCTATGGTAGTTATACCATCTAGGTTTGTGAAATACACTCTATTATTGTCTTACAATGACAAAATTTCCTAACTATGCATTTCTTAGAATGTATCCTTAAGTGTCATGTGGACTGTATCAATTCATTAAGTAATAAGTTAATGACTTAGGTAATATTTTGAATCAAAAATCAAAGAGGCATTCAGGTTAATCCCTCCTCCTCATTCCTCTCATTTCTAATGGTTCAGTAGATTTCCTTTTGTTTTTATTTCCTTAACGCTGTGAAAATATGTCCCAGCCTTTTCACTCTCATTGTTTTGGTGTAGTTCCCATCATCTCTTCCTGAATTATTGCAAACTACTTCTAAACAGTTTGCTTAACTTTAGACCCTGTACTTGTAATCTATCTGTCCTCTGGTCAGCAAAGTAATTTTTCTGAAAAGCAGAAATAAGATCATATTATTATCCTGATCAGAATATTCTACTAAACTCTTGCATAAGCGTATCTTCAATACTTGGTGCTGTTTTCTCTCTCCAATTTCATCCTGCATTAATCCCACCTCACTTACCCTATACTTTCATGTTATTCTACTATTTACATACCCT